CAAAACCCTTATGAATTCTATCTGACCTATCAATACAAGGCAAATTTTAACATAAATCAAGAGCCAATTAAATCTAATGATTATACTGAGAATATCACTGATAATAAAAGAAAAAATAAAATCACAGGCAAAAAAGCAACTTTCTCTCTATAGATACCTCCTCAGTATTTCTTCTAAAGCACTATAAAAATGTGTTTACAGAAACGTAAACAGGAAACATAACTCTGTGTTTGCCTTCACTGAAGTAACCTGCACAATCATTCCGTCCCCAATGACTGAAGCTATGGACAGGCACACCGAGAGCGCAGAGCCTGTTACCACCATTCTTCCCAAGCACTGAGATGGCAGTGGAGTCCCGCGCATCTCCAGGACACACACTGTCTACATCAGAGTGACTGCTCATAGGTAAGTTGGCTCATTCTATTCATTTTTGGTAGAAAAATCAAGCACATATTGTAATAAAATGATTTGTGATGCCTTAAGATGTGATGTATTTACAAGAAAACTACAGGCAAATTATATCAACCGCTCTGATCCCTAAAACACTACCTTTAAAAGTCTAAGCTTTTTTAAAAATATATTTTATTTATTTTTTACAGAGAGGAAGGGGGAGGGATAGAGAGTTAGAAACATCTATGAGAGAGAAACATCGATCAGCTGCCTCCTGCACGCCCCCTACTGGGGATGTGCCCACAACCAAGGTACATGCCCTTGACCGGAATCGAACCTGGGACCCTTGAGTCCACAGGCCAACGCTCTATCCACTGAACCAAACCAGTCAGGGCAAAAGTCTAAGTTTTTTGACAACAGAACAAGAGAGCCAACCCCCAAAGAACATGCCCATCTACCCACCTTAAATGTAAAGCGTAACTCCTTAAAATCTTCCCTCTAAAAGGGAGTCCCTACCGTAAAATGAAAATTTCACTGGAATAAGAGGAGCGATCTCAGTCTATAAACTCAGGAAGGCTTCTGAAAGATGGTGACCTGAGCATGAATCTACAGACAATTGGGCCAAGAAAGGTGAGATGAGAAGGAAGAAGGTCCATCTTGGACAGAGTAGTGTCGGAACAAGGAGAGAGGCCGGAGCCAGCACCTGGGATCAGGAGAATGCAGTAAGGACGCATGGCCAAGACAAAGCATTTTATGGCTAGAAATGAAGTTAGAGAGTTCCCAAATGCCAGTCGGGAAGGCTCTCCACACGTCAGTGAGCTAAGGAGTAGGAATGCTCCCCTGGATGCAAACGGGCTTGACTGGTTGGTGTCTAAGCAAGAGTGAAATAATTAGGGTTCTATTTCGACAAGACAGTCAGACAAAACGTGACAGAAAGTACAGTACTCACGTGTCATGGTGTCTGAGCGCATACCAGGAGTCGCTGAGGGAGGGTGCCTCAGCCTCAAGGCCAGGCCAGCACTCCAGCAAGATGTTCTGTAACGATGACAATGGCCTAAGCCACCGCCACACTGACTACTGGGTATGTGGAATATGGCAAGTGTGACCAAGGAACTGGGTTTGTGCTCCGATTTTAATTAAAGTGCAGTGGCCATGTTCCCAGGGGCTCCCTATACCAGCCCCAGCATGACTCAGGCTGGGGAGACACTGGTTAGTCCTGGTGTGTACAGGGGTGTGAGGACAGGTCCTGTGACCCAGGCTGGGAGAGACTGGTTAGTCCTGGCATGTGCAGGGGTGTGAGGACAGGTCCTGTGACCCAGGCTGGGAGAGACTGGTTAGTCCTGGCATGTGCAGGGTCTGAGGACAGGCCCTAGTAGCAGCTTAGAGGAGTCTGAGCCCAAAGGGGGAGGAAGCCACATGTGAGAGATCACCCAGAGAAGGAATTGAATCTGCAACCTTTTAGTCCAAGGGCCAACACTCTAACCACTGGGTCAAACCAGCAAAGGCCACTGATGTGTTGTGTTGTGTTTTTTTTAAAGAGAGTGGGAAAGAGGAGGGTTGGAAAGAGAGAAAGAGAGAGAGAGAGAGAGAAACATCGACATGAGAGACAAATTGATTGGTTGCCTCCTGTGCACACCCAACCAGGGTGGGGGCTTGAGCACACAACCCTTCAATGCATACTCTAACCACTGAATACACTGGCCTGACCTGTTCAACATTTCCTCATACAGCCTAACAATCAGTGTTAAACAGAGATTAAAACTGTAAATCCCAACCCTGGAAATAGAGGGATGGAAGTGAGCCTGAAAGGACTCGAGAGAGAGTTATGTGCCTGGGAATCTACTAACCCTGCATTAAACACTTTTTTTTTTTAAGTATTGTTATTCAGTTTTTAAGAGGAAGGGAGAGGGATAGAGAGATAGAAACATCAATGATGAGAGAGAATCATTGATCGGCTGCCTCCTGCACGCCCCACTGGGGATCGAGCCCACAACCCGGGCATATGCCCTGACCGGGACTTGAACTGTGACCTCCTGGTTCACAGGTCGATGCTTAAACACTGAGCCACACTGGCCAGGCTAAACACCTTTTAAGAGTTGACCCTGGCCATTGTGGCTCAGTTGGTTAGAGCGTCATCCCATACACTAAAAGGTCTCAGGTTCATTCTCGGTCAGGGCACATACCTAGGTTGTGGGTTTGGTCCCTGATTGGGGTTCGTACAAGAAGCAACTGGTCGATGTTTCTCTCTCTCTCTCCCTCGTCCTCTCTCTAAATCAATAAACATATCCTTGGGTGAGGATTTTTTTTTAAAAGTTGAAAGCAGCTCTTTTCTTCCCTGGCTGCTTGAAGATCAACCTTCATCATGAATGACACGGTAACCATCTGGACCAGGAAGTTCATGACCAACAGAATACTTCCGTGGAAGCAAATGGTCATTGATGTCCTTCACCCTGGAAAGGTAACAGAACCCAAGACAGAAATTCAGGAAAAACTAGACAAAATGTATAAGACCACACCTGATATCATTTTGTGATTGGATTCAGAACCCACTTGGGTGGTGGCAAGACCGCTGGCTTTGGCATGATTTATGACTCCTTAGATTACGCAGAGAAAAATGAACCCACAGACTTGCAAGACAGGGCCTATATGAGAAGAAGAAGACCTCAAGAAAACAGAGAAAGGAACGCAAGAACAGAATGAAGGAAGTCAGGGGGACTGCAAAGGCCAGTGTTGGTGCTGGCAAAAAGTGAGCTGGAGCTTGAACTATAGGAGTAAAGATTCTTCAGTGACTTTATCGGTGATGGCTGTGCAGATTTTTCATGAGAGGATTAATAAACTATAAACTTTTGTGTGTCAATAAATAAATAAATAAATAAATAAATAAATAAATAAAAGCTGAAAGCAGTTAAAATCTACAGCCATTAAGGTAAGCCTATTTGCTCTTTCATCAGCTATGAAAAACATTCTAAAGACTTAAAGCCTAATATAGTTAAGCCATCCATAGGTTCCTGGAGGAAACAGGTGCTGTACTTCTAAACCAGGACCACACATAAGCCTACTGGCAGGAGAGTCACTCTGGACCCAGAGCCAGTCACCCCTGCCTGCACCGGTGGACTTGGTGCTACAAAAAAACACCAAGTGACGCTCAGCGCCTGCCCTCAGATCTCACATCCGGCTCTAACGCAATTAGCCCTGGGAGCTAATCACCTAATGGAGGACCACAGCCTTCTGGAGTCAGACTCCCTCTGCAGTAATAAACGCCAGCCAGCTAAGACAGCACCTAGTTAGCTGGCCACATCAGTGTTTACATGGCAACTTCTCCAGCCGATGTCCCTGCACACACTCCACTCCAAAGATGCTTTCCTCACCGCGGCAGCAGCTCTTTCCACAGTGTAGGTGAGCACTTTATAAAGGTGACATACATCACCTGACACCAGCCCAGGACCCTTGCAGGTCACCTGGAACCTGTCCCTCACTTCCTAGATCTGCACATATTTTTGCACTGTATTGCATTAAATAATTTTCTGTTAAGTCCCTAAGAAACTGCTAAACTGTCCCTTAAAATGGAGGGGGGTGGGGGGGCTCAATCTCCAGTCGGGTGCATGTAGGAGGCAGCCGATCAATGATTCTCTCGCATCATTGATGTTTCTCTCTCTCTCCTTCTCCCTTCCTCTCTCTGAAACCAACAAAGAAATATATATATATTTTTAAAAGTTTTATTTCAAAGTTTTGAAAACCAAAAATCTCAAAATGCCAGAATAAACTGTCAAGGCAACCTGATAAAAAGAGTAGATGAAAAAGCTGAAAAAGATGTCATATATTACGTCTATAACTGCAGGCATGAGCCCAACTTTTAAAATGAGTGGCCAGGCCCCGCCAGTGTTGCTCAGTGGTTGAGTGTTGTCCCATGCACAGGAGGTCACTGGTTCTATTCCTAGTCAGGGCAGATGCCTGGGTTGCAGGCTCCATCCCCAGTAGGGGTGTGAAGAAGGCAGCCAATTGAAGTGATGTCTCTCTCATCAATGGTTCTCTCTCCCTTTCCCTTCCTTTCTTTCTAAAATCAATTTAAAAAAAGATTAAGCCAAAACTGGTTTGGCTTGGTGGATAGAGCGTCGGCCTGCAGACTCAAGGGTCGCAGGTTCGATTCCGGTCAAGGGCATGTACCTTGGTTGGGGGCATATCCCCAGTAGGAGGTGTGTAGGAGGCAGCTGGTCATGTTTCTCTCTCGTCGATGTTTCTAACTCTCCCTTTCCCTTCTTCTCTGTAAAAAAATCAATAAAATATATTTAAAAAAAAGATTAAAAAAACAACACAGCAACATATTAAAATGGGTGGCTAGGACTGTACTCCCCTTTCATATGATAGAAAAATGATTTCATCTGTGAACGTGTTCCAGGACACCTCAGAGCCTCACAGGACAAGAAAAGGACTCAAACAGTCCTAACTGGTTTAGAAAAGAACACTGGCTTTCATGTTCCCTGCAATGCTCTGACAGCAGACTATCCTGAACCACATGCTACAGGAAAACAGCGATGGATCAAAAGCCTCAGGCCAAGCAGAGACGGGACGGGAATGCAGAGCTCATGAGGGCCTGCACCAAGCGCACGTGCCTGACTCGGGGCACCATCATCCGCTGCTGCACCATGAGCGTGTGGCAGATGCAGGCCATCAGCGTGAAGGCCTCCTCGCTGGCCGAGTCCCTCCACACCAGGTTGAGCAGCGTGTTGGTCTGCTGCTTCGTGTCCAGCTTTTTCAGACACTCCTCTGTTATGTACGGTAACGACAGCCTCCCGTCCGCCTGAAACACACCCGGAAGTGACCCCACGTTAGTGATGCACCATGAGAACTCACCTCTACACGACAGACACACAGGAAATCTCACTTTCGTTCAAGTCAAAGTACAAGGCAGGCAGTATCCAAAATTACCCAGTCACAATGAACACACCAAGATCTCTATCATGTATCCATTAAAGGAATCTGAACACCCATAGTCACATCTATATTAGGGACCAATTTTGACCAGCATAACAACAGCACAGGAACTGTGACTATCCAGTGTTGCCTACTGATGTGACAGTATTTTCAGTATTACATTTCAAGAGAAATTCATTCGCCTGGCTGGTGTGGAGCAGTAGTTGAGCATCAACCTATGAACCAGGAGGTTGCGGTGCAATTCCTGGTCAGGGCACATGCCCAGATTTTGGGCTTGTAAGGGGTGTGCAGGAGGCAGCCAATTGATTTTTCTCTCTCATCATTGATGTTTCTCTCTTCCTCTCTCTGAAAATCAATTTTAAAAAAATTAGAAAAAGAATTCATTTCATATGTTTAGATTGCATTGTACTAAGCACATACCTGTGAAAATATATTGATAGAATTTCTATTTTAAATTATTTGAGAGATCAGCTTAAGCAAAACAGAATATTAAAGAACTTATTTAAAAGAATGAAATAAAATACAAAAGTCTATTCTTTTATATCTTGATTTCTCTAAAAGATCTGATTCACTGAATAAAACCTGAGCTAATGCTCTGCAGTTACCAAATTGGGGTATTAACCAAAGATCTACACATACTTTATATATATGTGTGTGTGTGTGTATGTGTATGTGTGTGTGTGTGTGTGTGTGTGTGTGTATGTGTATATACCTATATAAATATAAGCATATACGGGGTGACCCCAAAATAGACACTTACTTTAACAGCTGGTAGCTCAATTGATGTTTCTTTATTTTCATATTTAACCTACTAGAATGAATAATTATTCAAACTGTACGTACATTTTTGGGACACCCTGTATATATAAAAGATTAGGCATTGTTGACTGTATTGTTTGAAAGCTTGGATGGATATACTAGTAACTTATAATAATCTACCTAATAAAACATTATTTTAGAGATAAAAGTAATACATTCTACCTGGCTCTTTAAATAAGATGTACCTAATAAAAATGCTAGAACAAGAGTGCTGTATCAGTGCTACTGTTCTGTGTGGGCATTTTAAAAGCACACTCCCACAGATGTAACACCGCACACTGCACTTGGTGAGTGTCAGACGTGTAAGCATGAGCGGCAAGCCTGTTGCTCTGTCTGTGCACAGTGAGGAGGGGCTCTCCACCAATATGCCACAGCCTCTTCCTCTTCCTCACGGGGATACAAAGTGCACTGCATGTAAATAAAATGATAGTTTCCGGGATTGTCCAGAAGGTCATTAAGTATTAAAAAACTGTCGTCTAAAAACAAGTTTACCTACAGCATCTACAGGATCCCAATTTATTTTGGACCACACAACAAAGTTCATTTTGGGGTGCAGAGTTTTGAGTCTGGACAGATGCCCCTCATGCCGTGCCCTCCCGGCGGGAAGCCCAGTGACTGAGACGGTTCTCATCTATGCCCTGACCCCCCTCCCCGTACCCTTCCTGAGATCAGGCGTCATATTAACCTAACAGGAAAAGATGCAAAGCCTACCAGAGCCATACCCCAAGCATTTCCAGTGTGTAATCAGGAGAAGAAGAGGTCGGTGGCAAACATATCGGAGTGAGACACAAATATGTGTATGTGATGTATAGCTTTTTATCCCTTGAAAACACACAGTAAACAGTGCTGGGTAAGAAATGGGAGGTAAGTGTGACAATGAAGTTAAAGTTCATTTCAGGGTAAATTATCACATTTATTATCTATAAAGTTGGCAGAAATGGCCAAGACATTGATCAGTGTTCACCAGATAGGGTAAGAAGAAACATAACCTTTCCTCTCAGAGGGGCTGGGGATTAGGGGACAGAGAACGATGCTAATGACAGGGTTTCTTTCTGGAAGGAGGAAATGTTCTAGAAGCGGTCATGGTGAGGGCCGCCCAGCACTGCTACTACACAGAAGGAAACATGGACTGACCTGTACATCACTTCAAAGGGTGAATATTATGGAAAAGTGCATCTCAAAAAAGCTGTTATTAAAAATTCGTATAAAAACAGACAAGTGCCTGGCACACAGCACACCCTCTCGCCCAAACATTTCACCTCGGGCAATAACGAAATTCACATGAAGCCCAACCCTACTGGGCACAGACTCCGAGCACAGAGCCCCGCCGCCATGAGGCCTGTTCGTGGACTTCTAACCCAGGACTGCCACGTCTGGGAAAGGAGTGCAATGTCATGGAGGTGAGGGACTTGACCTGGACAGTCTGAGTGCTTCATGCACTCACGCCCTAATGGACCGGGTGAAAGAACTTTGTAGCCCACGGCCCGCAATGCTCACCGGCGAGCTCCTCCGCTGGTCGCCCTCTGCACCCTCCTCTTCTGAGTCGCTGCCGGAGTCCTGGCAGCTGGCCCCGGCAGGTGCGACGGGTAACTGCGCAAGGAAGGCCTGGAGCACTCGCAGGTACAACAGCAGGCCGTCCTCGGAGAGGGTCCCTTTGAGACAGTCGGGGAACGGTGAATTAACGCGGAGCCGAAAGAAACCGGAAACCAGGTATCCCTTTTCTTACGCTCCGCGAGGCGTGGCAAACCAGACCCTACTGAAACACTAACATTCATGGGCAGATGTTTGTAGAGAGGAAGGTGCTATAATCTAGAACATTACAAGTTTAGCACACAGGGAGCTGCCCCGCAAGCACACGCTTCCCCACGAGACTTGACACCAACGATCCTGGTAACCCGTGTGCCTTACAAGTGTGGACCCTGCCGTCCGGGCCGTGCCGGCACTCCCGGCGACACTGTGCAGGGCAGCCCTGGGCACGTGCACCTTCCAGGGAGTTCCCACCGCAGAGGCCACAGCGCCCTGCGCCGCCCTCCTGGCCCACCCGCCAGCACTGCCCACGCAAGCGCGGGGGTAAACGGAGCTGCGCTTCATACCCAGGTAATTTTCACCGACGGTGAGGACAAAGTAGAAGAGCCAGGGTGCGTGCCCGCGGGCCCTGGCACTGCTCTCCGCCGACAGCAGCGCGTCCAGGAAGGGCTCAAAGGGGAAGGCGGCCTGGGTGTCCGCCAGCGCGGGAATGACGAAGTGAAAGATCTGGTCTGTGAAAGGGGCCGCCAAACACTCCTCCGTGAAGGCCGCGAACACCTGCTGCCTACAAAGGAAAAATGTGCGCTTTTTAATAAAATCGCAGCACGCTGCTCATAAAATCCAGGGTTACAACTAACCAAGGGTCAATTCCAAACCAGCCTGCTGTTACTCTAAGCCAAGCACTCTAGGCCCAGCGGACTGCCTGCGTGAACTCCACGCGGTGTCTTCCCTGTTCAGGAAACGCTGTCACCACTTTGTACCTCTGGCAGCTTCCAGAAAGCGGGAAAATAACCAGGTCTTCAGAACGATCAATTCACGTTAGGGTCCAGGCCAAAGAGAAGTACATTTTTCTTTAAACTGAGTCACATTAGTAAAAATCTGACTTTCACGTCTATTATTCAAGATAGCACCCTGTGTCAAAGTTACTGTTAGACACAGATCTTGTGAAATCACTAAATAAAAACGATCCTGTTCTTACCTGGCGCCCTCCGGACAGGAGTTGTAAGTAAAGTGCAATGGTTTTAGGACATTCTCTAACAAAACTTTTGCTATAGGAACTCGAGATAAATCAGAATACTCAATACTTGATGGAAGCTTGCTGTTAATTAACAAATAGAGAGATCTATAATACCCTAAAAAAAAAAGGAAAAACACATATTTAAAATGTGGTGCTTTTTCTTCTATGAGGAAAATAACATGTCAGTTTTTAAATGCTTTTTACAAAACTCTAATCAGTCCAAATTTTAGTGAATTCTTCAACATTACGGAAAACTTTATAAACAAGTACATAAGTTTCTGAAATGATATAAACATGACCATGTCCATGTGCTGCCAAAGATGAGGACTTTATTTTTCTTAAAAATACCATGATCACAGCTAAAATGAATTCACAGCAATTCTTTAATATGACAAATATCTAGCCAGTGTTCAAGTCTCATGCTATAAATTTTATTTAACTAGTTTGCTTGAATTAGGATCCAAGTAAGGCCCATATACTGGGATTTAAAAAATTTGTCTCTTACGCATCCTCCAGGTAGTTTTGTGGGTTAAATATAAATTTATTTTATTGTTGAGCCTTACAGATGTCCCCATTTCCCCCTTTACCCATCTTCTACCCCATTCCAGGCCTTCACCTGTCTACTGTCTGTCCATGGGCTATGACCAGTTTGTACTTCTAAATCCCTTCACCTCCTTCACCCACCTCTCCAACCCCCCTTCAATTTGGCACCTGTTAAAATGATCAGTTTCTATGAGTCTGTTTCTAGTATGTGTGTGTGTGTGTGTATATATAAAATATAGATTCTTCTTTCTTTTCCTCCTTCTTCTTAAGAATACCCTTCAACATTTCATGTAATACTGGTTGGTGGTGATGACTCCTTTAGCTTTCTCTTGTCTGTGAAGCTCTTTATCTGAACTTCAATTCTGAATGATAGCTTTGCTGGGTAAAGTAATCTTGGTTGTAGGTCCTTGCTTTTCATCACTTTGAATATTTCTTGCCACTCCCTTCTGGCCTGCAAAGTTTCTGTTGAGAAGTCAGCTGATAGTCGTATGGGTACTGTTTTTCTCTTGCTGCTTTTAAGGTTCTCTCTTTGTCTTTTGGTCTTGGCATTTTAATTATGATGTGCCGTGGAGTGGGCCTCTTTGGGTTCATCTTGTTTGGGACTCTGTGTTTCCTGGACTGGTATGGCAATTTTTTTCACCAGGTAAGGGAAGGTTTCTGTCATTATTTTTTCTAATAGGTTTCCAATATCTTGCTCTCCCTCTTCTTCAGGCACCTCCATGAGGCGCTTGATTGTTCTAGAGGCTCCTTACACTATCTTCATATTTTTGGATTCTTTTTTCTTTTTGGTCTTCTGATTAGGTATTCTTTGCTTCCTTATATTCCAAATTCTTGATTTGATTCTTGAAGTCCTCTACTCTACTATTAATTCCCTATAAATTATTCTTTATTTCAGTTAGTACAGCCTTCATTACTGGCTGATACACTTTTTTATGATGTTGATGTTCTCACTAAATCCCTTAAAGCTCTCATTAAGATCCTTGAGCGTCCTTATAACTATTGTTTTGAACTCTGTATCTGATAGTTTTCTTGCTTCCATTTCATTTAGTTTTTTTTGAGATTTCTCATCTTCTTTCATTTGTGACATTTTCTTTTGACTCTGTATTCTGGCTGTCTCCCTGGGTTTGTTTCTATGTATTAAGAAGATCTGCTCTGTCTCCTGGGCTAGGTATCCTGTAGGACCCAGTGGCTCAGTCCCCCAGTTACCAGAGATGGGAGCTCTAGGTGCACCGGTGTGAGCTGTGTGCACCATCCTGTTGTACTTGAGCCTTGGGTGATGTTGGCATCGAGAGGAGTTGACCCCCAGGGCACTTTGCTGTAAGGAACAGCTGCAACTATAACGTAAGAGCTGCTGTGCAAAAGCCACCCCTGTGGAGCAGGACTTGCTTCAGTGGAGTGCTGGTGCTCACTGAGTCTTCACTTGGCGTGTGTCACTTGTGGAGGTGGTAGGCTTGTAATCTGGTGTGGTTGAAGCTGTCCACTGGGTGTACTGATTCTCAGGCCTCCCAGGAGGTGCAAAATCAGCCTCTGTCTGTGCCCTGCACAGGGCCACCCAGCAAGAACTGCAAGGCAACCTGCAGATGGCTGCTACTTGTATTGGGCTTGAAGGTGCCCAGGAGAGACCAAGCTATGAATCAGAGTGGGCTGCCGCTAGTGCCATGCCTACAGCCTCTTATTGAGAGGTACGGGGCACGCTGAGGCCAGCTCCTGCTTATTTGAGAGGTTTTAGGAAAGTTCAAAGCATGAGGCAAGAGAGACCAGGCGTATGGAAAAGCCACTGGAGCCTGGCCAGTGTGGCTCAGTGGTTATGTGGTGACACATGAACCAAGAGGTCATTGGTTCAATTCCCAGTCAGGGAATAATGCTGGGGTTGTGGGCTTAATCCCCACTTGGGGGCATGCAGGAGGCAGCCAATTAATGATGTTTCTCTCTCATTGATATTTCCCCCTCTCTCTCCCCACTCTCCCTTCCTCTGAAAAAAAGTGTTCCTATCTTTCTATCCCTCTCCAATCCTCTCTCTCTAAAATAAAAAAAAAATAAACGAAAAGCCAATGGAATTAACTTAGATGAGCCTGCAAGTAGTGGGGGGTGGGGGCAGGGGTGGGGTTTTGGAGCATCACCAGCACAGGGTGAACAGTGTGGGCCAGGCTGATGGAGGTTCAGATAAGGTGCCTGTCTCTCTGCAGTGTGGCAGGGAGAGCTCAGCAGAGGAACACTGGCCTCTGCCAGCCCTTCTGTCTGGGAGAAAGCTGCCCCTTCAGCTCTTGCCCTGATTCCAGACAAGTTAGTTCCTCCCCGAATGTCCCAGGTTCCTTTCACGCTGCTGTCCCAGCACTGGAGCTCAGAGGGAATGAAATGAGTCTGAATAAGTCCATGCCTGGGCCCTTTAAGAGGAACTGCCAGGACTCCTGCAGTCTCCCCTCCCCCTACACACACCCTCACTCAGCCACAATCTCAGTTGGTTTTTACAGCCACAAGTTGTAGGGACTTATCTTCCCAGTACTGGAACGATGGCGTGGTGTGGGGCTGGGACCCCTCGGTCCTCAGGAAAACCTCCACAGCCAAGATATTCCTCCACATGTGGGTGTGGGAGCAGCTGGTTCCACGCCTCCGCCCCCACCATGTCTCCGCCCTTCCTACCAGTCTTGACGTGCTTTTTTAATTCTCTATTTTAGGACTTCCATTCAGCTAGATTTCAGGTGGTTCTGAATGATGGTTGTTCTGTATTTTAGCTGTAATTTTGATGTGGTTATGGGAGGCGGTGAGCCCCATGTTTCCCTATGCGACCATCCTGACCGGAACCTCTGTTTTGTTTTGAATATCTTGCTGACTCACGGACTTAAACATACTGATGTATTTTGACCCACTGCATTGTCATCCTGATACTCCGACTGTCCTCTCTCTGGCCAATACTCAGGCTGCCCTCTTTTTGGCCAATGGAGTGGACTCTGGGGGGCTCCTGGGACCCAGGTCTCACTTTTCATCTACTCAATGAGATCTGGAATCAGCCTTTTCTCCAGGGACTTATATTCCTTTGACAGGAAATTGTATCTTTATGGATCACAAAATGGGCACTAAGGAATCTGTTTAAAAGGCAACTCCATGTGAATAGAAGCAATGACTTTCACAACCTCTCTAAGCTTTTGTGGTATCACCAATGACCCAAATCATCTAGTCTTTTAGAAACATGTGCCTCTTTCTAGTCAACTCTTGGGGTGCCTCCTGTGAACACCTCAGCACTGCACAGGCACACCTGGTGGTGCACCTGGTAAACAGCCATCGCTGGCTTTGCCCCTGAAAACAGTAGGAGCCAGATGTGCCCTCAAGTCATGAACACCAAGCAATGACCACTCGGTGCTCCATCGTCAGACCCCCTTTGTTAACTACCTCACAGACAGTGGTGACCAGTGAAACGCGACTGCTAAGATTTCATAGAATAATGTCAGAAAGTAATTTACCAAAATAGCTGAAGAAAGGCTATGGTACAAAGATGCTAGAAACAGCAGCTTCAGTGCACGATTTTGAAGCATTTCCCATTTCTAGACACGTGCCAAACTAATGCGTATTTTAGTTTTCATTATATTTTTAGAAAACAAGAAAAGTAAAAATTCTAATTAAATGCTTATTCTTAAATAAATATACTAGATACACCAATGAAAACAATGGACCATTTCTGATTATCACTAATTTGTTTTTTAAAAGATCAAATTCCATCAATTTCAATTTACTTTTTAACTAATTCCCTAATCTTATAGCAAACTAAGAAGGGTGTCTTTTTTAAAAAAAAGCCTAAGCCAAACAGTAAGGTCGAGATGTATAAGACTTTAAATTAATGTTTACAGTTTTAACATCAGGATTAAATTAGCTAGATTTCATCCAGATTAGTCCATCATTTCAAGCAAACAAAAGCAAACTTACTTATGCTTTATCAGCAAGAACTACTTTCCAGAACTTATAATACATATTTTTAATGCTAACTAATACTCTGGAGTCCAAGTCCTGAAGTATTTGACTTTCTACCTGAGGAAACACTGGGAATCCGATTTTTAAATTGCTTTATTTTATGCTATTTAATTTGATCATAAACCTTGTAAAATCATATGCATTTCATAGTCTTTCTCCAAATGACGTCACTGGTGTGTCCCCAGGGCCATCCTCTTCAGAGCATCAGTGCACAAAGCTGTCCCAGCAGGCTGGGAAGAAAATAAGACACCACATGTCTTCCTCTCCTCTATGAACTAAGGTGGTACCTCAAGACCGCGTCGCAGTGGGACAGATTCTGCTGGCAGATCTGCCCGTCCCAGTGCAGCATGGTCATGGAGGGCTGGCCACTGCACCACAGACAGCGTGTGACCAATGTGCCCAGGAGGACGGCTGGCAACAGACGTACACTAACTTGCTTCACTTACAAGCGATGGGAAAATGCAAGTGAAGAGACTGAACACATTTCCAAATGTTAGGTTGGGGGGAGACAGAGCAGATGTCAGGATGTGCGACCACCAGCACATGATCCCTCAACTGTGCATGCTGCTTCTGTGCCAAGTCCCAAGCGATGCTCAAAGAAAGTGTGCTCATCTCACCCAAGGCCAGCCCCAGCTCAGCCCAGCTTGGACCTGCCCACCACTTACCATTCTGAATCATGTAGTGCAAAACTTGCTCAATTACTGACACCACATAGCTAGCATCTTGTAAAACAGGTAAGTAAGTCTTCTCGGATGAAAACACCTCAAGCATTCTCATTGGAAGTGCAACATTCAAACTGTCATCATTACAGTTTTGCAATAACCTGTAAAAAGGAAAAAAGGGATTCACATACTTATTTGATAGCACACATCGCCGTTTCCTCGCTCACTGCCATTTGCTAAGGTTGGTGCTCGAGCCACTCTGCTCTCCTACTGGAATGTCCTTGGAAAAGGCCGACTCAGACAGGAAAATAAGCAAATTTTCTGTCATTCACACTTTTTTTTGAACCCTTATTACGTGCCAAACAGTATGTTGGCACTGGGCTTACAGAGATGAAAAGTGCACCACCACTAAGAGACAGGCGGTAAAGAGTGTGGACCACAAACGCAGCGTACGAACTGCTATGGTCCATGAACTGCAGCTAATGCAACGCAGCGAGGGCCTCTTCTCTTTAAAGGGCCTGTTATCTCCTTCAAAGATGTCAAGACTTTCCATCCTTGCAATGTCCACTCCGCAGAAAAGTTAACCTATATTTCTGGCCCTAAGTCATCTATTATTTTTTTAAAATATATTTTTTAAAGAGGAAGGGAGCGTACACTGATCATCAAGGGGCAGCCCCTGCATTGAGTGTCTGTCCCCTGGTGGTCAGTGCGCATCATAGCAACCAGTTGTTCCGCCATTCGGTCAATTTGCATAGTAGGGTTTTATGATATAAGACTTGAAGCCTGGTGCACGAAATTCGTGCATGGGGGCGGAGGGGGGTCCCCTCATCTCCGCCTGCACCCTCTGCAATTTGGGACCCCTACACCTTTTTCTTATCTACCTAACCTCTTCACATTTAAAAAAATTAGCTGAAATACCACCTACTCTAGGAAATCCTCTCTGAACAAATCTCTTTACAATCAGTATTAAGTATTTTTATAGTATATCATTCTTTTTCCTTAACAGCAGCTTAGAGTGGATGCAATGTGCTTCTCATTCTTGCATCTGATTATTTTCTTCTTGCTCTTGTAATAGCAAAGCTTATCCAATTTACATTTGCCCTTCAAGGGCTTATATTTGGTTCAGTTTCTAGTTGGCTCCCTGCTGTTTTTTTTTTAAAGCAATAAATTTGGGTTGTGATAGTAAGCCTCACTTGTAATCAAGCCTGTAGAATATTTCTATAATACCTATCACTTTAGCATACCAGAAATTGTGCTCATTTATAGAAAATAACAATAAATGTCACCTGATCATTTGTTCTTCTAGTAATATTTTATAGCAAGATGTATTATTCTAGTAATTTAGCTATTACAAAACTGAGGTGTGCAGAAATAAATCACATTGAACAATAAAGAATGACTCAAATATCAAAGCATAGTACACTTAGGGCCTCCCCTTGTCCTGTGCCTCAGATATCATAGCATATTACACAGTTCACATGGAACTCAGTTTCCTTTAAAATAGGAAGGGATCCCATACTCATGAAGCAGATACTTCCACACATATTTTTTTTATTTAATTCACAGCACACAGTCTTTGTACTAATTGTTGGGAAATCATCCTAGCAATTGCCTGTTCCTCTCTGTATTGTTGCCTTACATTCTGATGTCATTACTGCATTTTTATCATCTACTCACTCTAAAAAGATTGTGAATTATTTAAGGGCAGAGATCTGACTTGAGCTTGTGTGTTCCTGTCATGGTGCCTAGATAAATATTCAAATGCCATCCAGTCCAAATGACTGTGATGAGAGAGGCCACCGTTGCTGGAGACCTCTGATTTTGATTTAAGGGGCCTCACCTGTTCTGCACCTTTAGAGGAGTAGTGGCTGAGGGAATTTGAGAAAACCCAGACAGAATTCTCCTCCTAAAAGATTTTGCTAAGCTGGCGCCTGGGAACGCCGGGCATTTGTCCAATTAAAACCCGGACACACAGCAATAACAAAGGCACTGGTCTCCTACTGCTAATGCCTACGGATCAAACCCCAGCCTGCAGGAAATCGGCCCTGCAGTCAGGACCCGGCGCTGGGTGGACCTGGGCTGGTGCTCCTAACTCTGGGGAGAGGGAGTCTTCCCGTGGCTGCAGGTTAGAGGTCCCAGACTCGGTGCCACCCACCCGATCAGGTCCATAGCGCAGACTGGTCAGAAGGGCTTCTTCACCTGGGATCGTGGGGAGGCATGTTCTGTTCACCCTGCAAGTGATTACAGGGAAGCCTGTTCTGTTTGCCCGGGTATCCATCGTGGGGAGGGCTGCTCTGTTCGCACGGGGAGGCCTGTTCTGTTCACCCTGCGATTGTTCACAGGGCGGCCTGTTCTGTTCGCCCGCTATCAATGAGGGGAGACCTGGCCTGTTCGCCCTGTGATGGGCACTGGGCTGGGGGGCGTGGACCCAGGCTGCCGCTTGGTGCATTCGCAAGCAGCCACCGGGCAGGAACATCCGCTTGGCGCCTGCGCCCACAGGCCCAGAGGCGTTCTGGGACCCCGGCAGTTCAGGGCCTGTGCACAGGCCTACAGGCTAGGAGTGGCCTGGGTCCCAAGGGTGTTCCCAGGACCCAGGCCACTCGGTGCCTGTGTATGCAAATTAACCCACCATCTTTGTTGGCTTAATTTGCGTACTCTCCTGATTGGCTGGTGAGCATAGCGGAGGGACGGTCAATTTACGTGTTTCTCTTTTATTATACAGGAGGATTCTTTCAACTACTGTGGGTGTTAAAAAATTTTTCAAAAAAAGTTGGAGCCGAGACCGGTTTGGCTCAGTGGATAGAGCGTCGGCCTGCGGACTGAAAGGTCCCAGGTTCGATTCTGGTCAAGGGCATGTACCTAGGTTGCGGGCACATCCCCAGTAGGAGATGTGCAGGAGGCAGCTGATCGATGTTTCTCATCGATGTTTCTAACTCTCTATCTCTCTCCCTTCCTCTCTGTAAAAAATCAATAAAAAAAATAAATAAATAAAAAAGTTGGAAAGAAAGGAGAAATTATATTTTGATACATCATCTATTGAAATTACTTGCTAAATGATTATCTTTCAAAAGCATGTTAGGCCCTGGCTGGTTTGGCTCACTGGTTGGAGTGTCAGCCTGTGAACCAAAGGGTCTGGGTTCAGTCAGGTATGGCATATTTTCAAATTTCTTGTGGCACACCGGTTGAAAATCGCTGCTCTAGACTATGGTGCATATAATGTATTTTTCAAAGTAAAAGTTTCCAAAAAACACAAGTCGTTAGGAAAAAAATGGAAATTCTTGGGATTTGTGGTCCTCTGGGTTCTCTCGCTTTTATGAGGTTCTCTACTTTTTGGATCAGCTAAATATTTTGGGAAAATATGTTAACCCCTAGAGTGCCAGGGAGTGCAATCACGCTCCTCCTGTCTTTTGCCAAAAGTGCCGGGAGCGCTATCAAAGCTTCGAAATGGTGTCCAGTTCTAAGTCTGTTTTTATTAGTGATGATGATATTGCTAAATATGTCAATGTAGTAAAGGTTTCCGTAAGTTTTTGAACACATAACCTCATTTACTTGCGATTCATAATTTTTTTCCCTAAACTGCTGTAAAATCAGCAAAAATGCCTTGGCAGTTTTAGCATAGTTCCTAGGATATTGGTTGGCACTCAAAGGGTTAATGAGGCCTAGTTCTGAGAGGAATCCTAAACAAACTTTTCTAATGCAGCCTCTAGAAAATTAACTGAAATTGTATCTAGCCTCAGAATCATTTGAAACTTCTGCTACTGCAGATACAGCAATTGTATAAAGATGGCAAAAATACTAACTTGCTCTTTCACTTAGGTACTAACAGTTCACATCACTTAAACATGTGATTTTGTAGACTGAATCCAAGCAAGTCATGGAAATGGCTTACTTCAGGTTCATGCATAAGTCACACTGAGAGCCTGGCAAAAGGCTGGCTTCAAAGGCAAAGGCCCTGGGAGAGCAGAACTGTTCTCATCCTCAGAG